CCTCCTCCTCCGCTTGCCTCTCTCGCGGTGCTCTCTTGTGCAAATCATGAGGCCAAACCCACGTTATCCATTACCATGCCAGAGATTTGAACCTTTTTTCGCTGCAGATGCCAATTGTGTTCGCATCCTTTTTTGGTTTTGTCATTCCTCGTCGTCACATTTCGTCGTTTTCCTCACGAAAGTACTTAACTGCATTTCAATGTTGCCAAACATCCCCGCTCAAAGTGCATTTTTACCGGGATGATTTTAAGAATTTCTCAAATGAAAATTGCACCAATTTTTATTCTGATCTCAAGAGGAAATCGGTCAAATTTTCAACGAAAATCATGTAGGTTTATCCTCGTAAAAAATCGGATAATTTAAGTCAATTTCGCAACCTTGGAATGGATTTACGTACCTTCGCGCGGGAAACGACGCTTTGATTATACTTGAATCATCTAGTCGGACGTATTTCTGCCGAATGGGACTATGTGCATTATGACGTGAGCCCTGTTATGCACATATTATTATGAGTCTCAGGGCTCATGCCTTAATGCACATACTTCCATTTCGCAGAAATACGTTCAGTTCGAGAGTACAACTTCACAATTTCTATATAAATTGGACCGATTACGATTGACGCTTTCATTTGAACGCATTGAAACAGAAGTAGACTACTTGCATCGTGATTTTTTTACAAATTATTTTTGTAATTTGATGATATTACCTCTCTCCCGATCACTTGTTATCAGATTTTAGGCGATAGCTATTTTGAGTAACGTACACATCATCGTCAGGCCACTTGGATTTGTTAAACACTAAAAGTCACATTGTATATTATCAAAATATACTAAAATTTACTAACATTTTTTAAAAACACTATTAAAACACTCGTAGGTGCACCCGTCAAGGTAATATCATCAAACAAAATGCAGCCCGATGAAAAGTTCATCTTTAAATTTTTGTAATTGCTCAGGACTGCAAGAATACGTATGATAGACAGGAACGCTCACCTTAAATTGACAGAGTCCAGTGTTGCCAACTTGTAAGAATCGTCGCGGCGTGGAATTCCGATCGGGGAAAGTAGGAGCAAACGGCGTCCGCGCGAAGGAGGAAAAAGCGCAGATTCTTGGGGAGTTGTGCGAGTCGAAGTCGGAGACATAGGTTACGTTCACCGCCCGCCTGCACCCCCCCCCCTCTCNTCCCCCCTCGCGCTCCCCCCGTCCCCCGCGGGGCTCGGTGGCGGCCTTCAGACGGGCCGCTGACCCGGCAACGAAATAAAAAGTGCACCTGAAATTGATTGCAGGAACTTTGAAGCGGTCCGAGACAACTTTCACCCGCGGATGGACCCGATACCGATACCGATAGAGTCGTTTCGAGGAAAAACACCGTATCGACTCGCGATGGTTGCCAAATTTCTCGCCGTCGAACTGCGAAAATCCCGGAGAGCTTATGAATTGAGGGGCTTGGAGGACAAGGCGCACAAGTGCAGTGCTTGCTATTTAGAGAAATACGTGTTTGAAGTTTCGAAATTATATGGATTCTTATGGCGGAAAGAAGGTTCAAAGTGACTTTTTGATGTTAAAAAATTGGAATTTAGCAGCGAATTTTTCACAGAATACGCATCAAGATCAGTTTTACTTGAAATCATTGATATCTCAAATCCTTCAAAAACTGCACGTATGCGCCTTGTCTTCCAAGACTCTCAATTCCTCCCAAAGGATTTTTATGGGATTTTCGGGAGTGTTATTCGTACTCAAACGTATTGCGTCTGAAAATTCAAAGGGAACATATTTAACATTCTCTCATCAAATACTACGTACATAATGTTAGTCATTGGAACCTGACGGATGACGTATGAACTAAAACATGTACAAAGTTGAACATGTTGAACATGTAAAACAGTAAAATTTATCTAGATGAATTCGGCACACAATAGATCATCCATCATCAGCATTTATAATGAAAACCAAAGATGAATGCAATCACATGCACTATTGTTTTTTGCGTTATCCCCCCCCCCCCCCAGAGAAAGACTTGTTGTAACTGAGAAAATTTGGCATTCGACGTGCACATACGCCATTCTTCAATAGCAAGGGAAAAGGAAAGAAAATACGGACAGACGTGAAAGGACCGACCGAGTTGTCGGAATGACGTCATTTCGCTTCGGCGAGGGCCAAGGGGCAATCTCGCCGGACGGAGAGTGGCCAGCTAGGATTCCGGTGAAGGTGCACTCTCCCTCTCCGTGCAAAAACCACATAACTCCAATCGAAATCCCTCTCCGATACGAGCTTCTGCAGCCGCAGCGACGAAGATCCATCGGGACCGAGGGTCAAAAGTTAATACTCGAGAGAGGTGGTCTGCTGCGCCTGGAGTTGTACATTTCGCGGTCGGTGGCGAGGCGTGAAAGATCGATTATCGATATTCCTACATTTTAAGCTATGGTAAAGAATCGATTATTAAGGTGATCGTTACGAACACCCTGTACATCGATCCTTTTCTGTAGGTTTAAATGGCAGATGAATCGATACATCGCAAAGCACGCCACGCCATTGCGGTGTGAGACTCCGGTGACGGGAAGAAAGGGTTTTTACTCCTTTTGTTCGGATGCAACTTTTCAAGGGGACCTTTGCGCTGTTTGTATCGCCTCTGGGCAGGATTTAACCTCAGGATGGGAAAGTATCCGTTTTTGTCTTTTTGAAAGATGTAAGTTGATTGAATGAGGGGCTTAGAGGTCAAGGTGCTTGAGTGCAGTTTACTATTTAAAGAAATACGTGTCAACATTTCCAACCACCAACATCAGGCATCGTCCTCGTAACTTTTGAGCAAATTGAGATAGAAATTTGAAATTTTGTGCGTGCTTCTAGGTCGAAGAAAAAACTTTTGCGACCCTCAGAATTTCAAATGGACCATTCTGAAAAGGGGCAAGGAACCTAGGAGGCGTTATAGAGGTGGTACGGGACTAAGTATTGGATCACTCTGTATAAGTGTTATTTTTTGGCGTGTACATCACTGAGTTAATTTATCTCAAATTTTGTCTATGTAACCGTTAGTCCTCTATTTCCATGTTTGAATCAGTGAGAACGAAAACACACCAACTCGAAAAAATGGAAATGATCAAGGCACACGCAAAACTGGACAGTAGTTGAAGAGGTTAGAACAAGAAAAAGATTTTTGGTGCCGAGAGACAAGCACTAAAGGACACTTTAAAGGTCCAAGTTGGAACCGATGCGTTAACTTCAATGACTTTTATGAAAACTGACTCTCTTCAATGAAAATTGAGCATTTTCGAGTTACCGAGTTGGTGTGTTTTCGTTCTCACTGATTCATTTGACCACTTGCTAAGGCATCGGGAAGAATGCGTGATTCGACTAATTGCCGGCGACTCGTACAGCCTCTGGAGGCATGCAGAACAAAAGGAAACGAGAGGTCAAAGCTTGGAATGACGGGCACGGTCGTAATGCAATGGTGTAACATGTTAATCAGAGTAAACACAAATTATCCGGCAGTGGCGTGGCGTGCTTTGCGATATATCGATTGATACGCCACTCAAACCTATGAAAAAAGATCGATTATTAGGGCGTTCGCTACGAACACCTTAGTAATCGATTCTTTACCATAGCTTCAAATGGCGAGATATCGATAATCGATCATTCACGCCACGCCACTGTTATCCGGCTCCTCCAGTGTTTTCCTAACTTATTTGAACTTGGCGCATGTGATTAACGACGTTCGGTTCGTTAAACTCTCGTTGCGGGCCCGGGCGGATAACCGGCGAGAAATTAGTGATTCGAGCGGCGCGCCGACCCCGGCCCCCGAAAACCGCGTAACGTCGTTTTCTAACAGGGTGTAGATGCGTGGTTTTGTCGCGGACGGCAGTCGACGTCCCCGTCTCATCTCTCATTATGCTTATCTCTCCTCAAACTAGTTGCGAGTAGCTGAGCATATTTACACCCGGCAGATAGAACATCGCCCTCTTTGAACCCGGCTACCGGGATGGCGCTTGCGGGACGGGCCTATACCCGCGGATTCCGGATTCCGTGCCTTGGATTTTTCTCCGGGATAAACCTGGGTCTTTATACAGTGATGTCATCTGGCTCTTCCGATGTTTAAGCTTGCATGGTTAAGCTGGATTTTTTAAGTTAATAACGTTTTTAAGCTTTCTGACTACTCTGGAAAAAAAACACATTGGATCTGGAGTCCAGACTCTTGGAAACATTGACAAGAAAAAATACTCTTGATTCAATCGGATTTTTGCTTGAATAAAAACGAAATCCGCTTAAATTAAGAGGCTTGGTTCTTGCTTTAAGCTATGGATTCTGATTGAATCAAGAGTAATTTTTCTTGTCGATGTTTTTAAGAGTTTGGAATCTAGATCCAATGTGTTTTTTTTCCAGTGCAGTGGGGATTCTTGAAAATTGGCAACATTGCTTTCCTTCTATTTAAATGTATGTAAAGCAATCGATTTTTGGTGAATATCGATATATTTAATGAATTTAAATGGAGGAAGGACAGTGTTGCTAACTTGCAAATGCGTCGCTGATCGTAGGTATATACCCTGTTCTTCGGAGACTTTAACGCAAGGTAAGAAAAGGAAGCGTTAAAATTTGAGGCTATCCATGTTTGATACCCATGTGTAAATATCCCTTGTCTGACAGGTTCGGGTCTCTGAGACTTATTTAAAATACGTGTTTTTTCAAAAATTTTCTTGAGAGTATGCCCTTACCGCCACTTCATCCATTTCGTCAATCCCCGAACTGATGACCTTAACTCCATTCCAAGGATGCAAAACTACCTTAAAACATTCAATCTTCCGCAGGAATATGCCCGTGCAATTTATGCTCGGAATTTTACTGATTTTTGCGCACAATTCAAAGAAAAATCAATGAAATTTTCAGCCAAACGTGTTCTCTGAAGAAATGGAATTCGTGAGTACTTTCGCAATGTTCAAATCTAGTTACACTCTTCCGTGCAAGAAACGACGAATTGTAACAAACTGCGTATCCAATGTGAACGCTCGAATCTCCCTAGGAAAAGAGCCGTCAAAGAAAATATCATATAGGTAAATCCCTAAATTCAGGACATGAGCCTAAATTCTATAATTTTCTCCCCAGAGGCAAGATGTTAATGAGCACTGGAAAATTCAACGTGGTTTCACGGTCAAAAAATCGATCATTCGAGCTCGGATGTTCATAGATGGAAGACGAAACTATCGAGAATGTATGCTTGAATAAAATATGGATGATTTAGTATTCTCGCGGTTAGATCATTAGCATGTGTGGCTATTTTAGAGGAGCGCCCGTGAGTATTAATTACATTGAATTTGTTTAAATTTTGCACTACTGGCAACATTGCTCGTCAGCCAAAGTTTATTTTTGCAAAAGAAGAGGTATTAAGGGCATTGACCCGCAGCTCGACGAGAATCGTTACGAGCGCATAAATTAGGTTGCAAATGCCTTGTTAAAAGAAAAGAACATTTTAAAAATTTCAGCTCCCCCTCCCCCCTCCTCCACCACGCCATTCGTATCTTCAGAGCCAAACATGGGTATTAATACCTTCAGATTTTGACGCTTCCTTTTCTTACCTCGCGTTTAAGTCTCCGGAGAGTGAGGTAGCACAATTCAGTGGCGTGGTGTGCTTTGTGATGTATCGATTGATCTGCCATTTAAACCTGTGGAAAAGGTCGATAAATAAGGTGTTCGCAACAAACACTTCAATAATCGATTCTTTACCACAGTTACAAATAGGGAAAGAGTCGATAGTCGATCATCTACGCTTCGCCCCTGTTGCAATTGTAGAGTCAGTGAGCTTATACATATTTTAGTCTACCAATAATTTTAAGAACGATTATGGCTTCCTCTGCTAATTAGTTAGCAGAATAATCGCTGCTTTGCTCTATTTGAAGTAAAGGAGTCCTGAATTTAAAATGTAAACGTAAAATTCGTCGATCCTTTGCCTCTCGAACGATTAAAGTCTTTTCGCTGACTATTGAAAAATCTCCAAATTCTAGCTTCTTTTGTCTTACGCGGTGAAATAATTTTACGGGATGGTTAAGTTTCACGGAACGTTTTTAGGAGTGAGGCGGCTGCAACTCGGGAAAACTTATCGACGCAACCTTAAGAATTCAGCAGTTCTTCAACAGATTCTCGTGAAAGACTTGTTCGAAGAACTGTTGCTCCAATGAAAATTCTATTTCCTGTTGCGGCGGGCTGACTAAGGAGTGGTCAGTGATGGATGGATGCTCACCTTGACGGCTTAATCCTCAACCGACACCCCCCCCCCTCCTCAAGTGACTCCAATTTCAAAATTTCTCGGCACCGAGCGACATGGAAAATCAGCAAGTCAAATACCCTGATTCGGCTTTGATCCATCGATAATCGATGGATCGATCGTTATCGATTGGGCTCCGACTTCTTACACATGATTTTGGCGAGGTGGAGTCGATTCCAATGTCACACCTCTCCTGTGCCTGTGCCATGATTTGCCTTGAGGAACTGGTCCTCGTTGGGAGATTAGCGTTACATTTTTACGTTGGCTTTTCAGACTGGATTCTTGGATAAGAAAGGAATTCGTGGACCAGAGATCTGCGAGTAATATAGTTGAATTTCTTCTACGTTGCCGCTGGCTCCTTTGAATTAAGTTAAAACCCTTTAGACTGCGCAACATAATAATATCACAGTTTGGCACGGTGTTAAAATCTTTCGCTTACTTTACTTGACTGTTAATATCTGGATGACTCAGCTGGTGGACTGGAGGTTCACAAGATCCTGACTTTGATTCCAGTCCTCACCAGTGTAACTTTATTGGGAGGGTATTGACATGTGTAAAAGTTCAACAGTCCGCCAGACCTTCACCGATGCTTCTGCGAATAAATTAGGGACCAGTAGAGCAGCCAACTCATGATATCAGATGACCTATTCTTATTACCGCAGTTACTTCATGTTACCGTCAGGATCAAAATTCGTTTGAAAGAGCCTAGGAAAATAATCTAAGGTCCTCTTTCCACAGAACGTTTCAAGGTATTTGTCCCACTTGCAAAAATGGGGAAAATATTGAGTTAGTCCATACTAATCAGTACTAATCCTTAAGGAGTCCTAAGAGCGATTCAGGGAGAAGAAGCAAGGTCGTTTTGTTGAAAACACTTATGAAGTCAGCGTAAGTTTAATATGTAAAAATAATGATGTATAGGACTCACTTGCACTTTTCACTGCTGTAGGACTTACTTGCACCATAAAAATTGCAAGTGAGTCCTACACATTACTATTTTAATCCCCCCTCCTCCCCCCCCCAAAAAAAAAGTCGTTTCGTTTAACGGGGGAAAAGCCTAAGTTGTAGTAGGTTATAAATTCACCAGTTATAATACTTGCCTTTTTTTCATAATAAAATGCTTTTTTTTTCTTTTG